CATTCTCCATTGTGATTTAATTTTAGAGGAGCTTCGCATAAAAATTTTAAGTCATTTATAGTTAATTTGACCCCTCAAATGAATTAATCAAGTGAAATCACATTTTTGGCATTAAAATAATTATAATAATTAAAAAAAAGCTAAAAAAAATTACCAAATTGGTTTTGTGAGCTCCTTATGACTAGAGGAGCCTAAGAAAAATAAAATTAGAATTGAAATAAATATTTCATTTTTGAGTTATTTTTGGGCATTTAAATAATTAAAAATGAATTAAAAAATCATAAAAATTGTAAAATTGTAAAAAACACACTAAAGTGTCACATTTGACTTGCTAATCATCTAGAACCAATTAATATAATTTCTAATTTTTCAAGTCAATATATTAATTTATAAAGGCTTAAAATGAATTTTCTCTATTTTCTCACTAAAATAATTCGAATAATTAAAATATAAATGACAAAAAATATGAAATTTGTTTCTTTAGGTTCCTGGACTCAGAAAGTTCTAATAAAAATATAAAACTTAAATTTCTACTTAAAAAATATTTTTCATTTAATTAATGCTCAAAACAAACAAATAATTTTAATAATTAAATTAAACCTCTAAAATCATGAAAATTGGTCCAAGTGGTCCTCTAACCTAGGTGAATCTCTAATAATTTTCTTAAGGATAGAGGTTTCATTTTGATTGAGTTATTAAATTTTCATTGAAAATCCTTATTTTTGCATTAAACATAATAAAATTAAATTAATTCAGAAAAATCACATATTTTTTTGTCTGATGTTTTAATTAACACATGAGTGTGGTAACTTAGAATTTTCAAGTCATTGGAGTCTAATTTAATGAATTATGGGGTATTACGGCCCTAGGGGCAAAAGGGTAATTTTGAAATTTAAGGTTTAACTAAAGGGCTAATTAGGCAATAAATAATCTTAATTGATATATTTTGATGATTGAAATATGGAAGGAATAAATGGAAGTAACCAATCTCACTTGTAATTTTTTTAAATTAATGAAATTTAGAAGAACGTTTAAATAGGGAGATATTAAGGTGAGGGGTTTGATTTTAGAAGGTCATAACTCACTGATTTTAAGCCCCGACTAATGGTTTTGAGATGATTCATAATTCATGATAAGAATTAAGAAAATTAAGAATAGAATTAAGAATATAAATATTGAAAACCCTTTTTCTTAAAATCACAAATCTACCCATTAAATCTTAGGGACTTAGTAGTGAACTAAGTTTAATCAAAATTTTGTTTAATGAAGTTTAGAAAATTATTTATAATTAATTCAAAACCTTTCAAAACACTGCAAGTCCATTCTTTAAAAATCAAATTAATTAAATTCCTTAATTAAGTTAAGTTGCCCCCAAGGGCCTTTACCCATATAATTCATAAGTGAGATACCAAATAATAATTTCCACATTTAAGGGATAATCAGAACATCAAAATTCACTGAGCATAAGAGTATTAACTGGGTGAACTATATAGCAAACATAATAAGATCAAAACAAACTCAAGATAATTTTAGGGACTGTGAAATGTCTAGGTTATTACCCGAAGCTTCTTCATGATCTTTTGGACATCTTGAAGGACACATGAACTTATTATGATTTGCTTAATCGAATCATCCTTAAAATTTTGACCTACTAAGATATGACATAGGATCTGGTAGACACACCTCAAACTTGTAATTTCTACTTTCTTTATAAGCATGTTTTAATGCCTGCAAAATTATAGCCTGCAAAATTATACATATATGACATATATGTCTTGCAAGTACTAAACTTTCAGGTGGATGAATGAGAATACTCGACAGGTACGCCTTTACAGTTTACAGTACTTTCCTTTCCTGTATTTTTTTAACTGCACATTTTGCTTATAAACTTGCATGCTAAATAATAATGTCAGCCTGCATGTCAAAACTAAAACTTTTAAGATAACCACAAAATTGAAACAAAAATAAAAACTAAAATTAATTAAGATAAAATTCACCCCCACAATATTCAAAATATAAGACAAATCAAAATTTAATCACAAACATCAAAAAAAATAATTGCAACTAAATTCAACTAAATTAAGACGTCTCCTGATGATCGGGAGTCCCTCGGAGGAGGTAACCTACGGTTGCTAACAAGATTTCCCACGGTCTAAATAAAAGTACGGAATTCATTAAGTTGAGTTTAGTAAATTTATTTAGACTAAGTAAATCCGAAAGAAAATAATGATACCAAAACGAGGGAACCGTAGGGTTATAACAGGTGTCCATCTAATCAACTTTAATATACCCTATAATATTTAAAGAACCATAAACTTATCAAATAATTAATTTGACATCTTGATATGACGCACTAGAAAACGTGACTTCTAAAACATGATATTTTGTTCCCATCTACTCAATTGACATTTATAAAACTAAAATCTGCTACTTCATCGAGGAGCTTGGAGCTTTCCTATGGGCAGTGTTCTACGATAACGATCTACAACAACAAGAGGATCTACAATAGCATATATTTTCTTAGAATTAAACAACAATCCATAGGACTTCGAAGTTGTTTTGCTTATGTAACATAGATCCTCAACTTATCTTTAGGCCTTTGTATGGTTCTGTTAGACAATATAAGCCCTAACCGGTCTTAGAATTTCAAGGTTGTCGTTTGTCACGATCGAAATCCTCATATTTTCCAAGCTATTTGTGCGATTGTTTCACACAAATGTAAGACCTAATTAATAAAATTGGTATGATGAAACATTTAATAATTATAATCCTCAAAATGGAAGCCAAACAGTAGGATAGTTTTGAGAAGTCACCGAGGTTTTCCTCAGGATCTATGGCATCCCATAGTTCTTCCTCCTTTGGATTCAAAAAATAAAATGTTCTAAATTTGAGTCATTCCACTTTCACACCTATTTGTCTGATCTCATTGAAAAGTCTTATTCCTTTGAACTCCTTGAAGATAATATCCCCTGATTTTTATCGAGAGTTTTCTTAGATGACTTCGGTCGTCTGGGATGGAATTAACTATAGGGGCTTGCCCTGATATGAAGCATTTCCAAACTCAGCTTAAAATAAACCATATTTAATCTTTCATATTAAATAGGGGAACTTGTCGGCTTATAAATAAAAATGGTTTCATATACTTAACGGATGTCATACAATCTTTAGTTCATTTAATTGAGCATTACCAGTAAGTGGTGTGTCTATCCTTCGGGATGAACACATTAATTGCAGCATTAGACTCATTTATTTAAACTACTAGACATACGAGATCGGTCTGGTCTTGTATTTTCCAAAATTCAAAATACTAATTTTTTTTCCAAAATATATATATTAAATTAAATTAAAATGGGTGCTGGGATATCCATCATAACATCCGACAACTTTACAACTCTTTAACCGAAATTGTGCTGACAATGCTAATTAGTCACCTCAGCATTTTTAAGTCTGAAAGACAATACATTATCCCTCCTTTGCAATGAATGTTGTCTTTTTTGTGTCGGCTGGGTGCATCTTTATCTAGTGGAGGCCAGAGAAGGCATCAAGTAAGCTCCTCATTGAATGACTAACTTCCACGTCTACGAGTGTGACAATCCTTGGTAGGAGGTAGTTGTTTTTTGGTTATGTGGTGTTAAGATGAGTGAACTTGATGCACATCTATAACTTGTCGTTCGCCTTCTAGATCATGATAACAGTAGATACCTATCACATGTATTGGACTTCTTAGATGTAACCAGCTTCCAACAGCTTCTGAATCTCTTCTCGGATGATCTCGACTAACGTAGTTGTCGACATCTTATGCTTCATCAGTTGGATTGCTGGATTGATGTTCATTTGGCGACACGCAACATCGACTGATACCACAGGATTTCAATGACCAACTAAGGGCCTGTTTGGCGCAACTGCAGATTCTCAGTTTTTCAGCTGCAGCTGCGCTGCCCCAGGAAGTAGCTGTAGGGAAGCAGCTGTGGGGAAGTTGACTGTCTGTTTGGTGCAGCTGTGTGAAAAATGTTGTGAGCCAGCTGTTAATGTAAAAATGACCAATCTGCCCCTGTCTGTTAAACTGTTTAAAATATTTCGATTTATTTTTATAAATATGGGCTTAATATACATCAAGTTTATAAAAAATATTATTTTTTTACTTAATTAAATGAACTAAATAGTTTTCAACATTCATTTTATATATTTTTTTAAAAAAAAAATGTAATTTGGAGCACAAATAGGTTTAAAATTTTTCTTCATCTATATATCAAAGTATATGAATATTAATCCATCTATACAAATACAAATTTACAAACATATTTTATAAGCATAAAATGTAAAATACGAATACATATATGCATCTTAAGCCACTAAGAAGTCGTTCTTTCTTACATAAAGACGTAGGAACTCATACAGTTTCTTACATCCAAAATAGCACAGAGTACAGAAATGCCACTCAACCACTGGCTAGGAGAAGCAGAATGAAAAAAAACTGTAAAAAGACGACCACGACGAGTAGCATAATGGTAGTGTTATTTCGAACAATGACACGTTGTAGCTCCCGTGTCTGCCCCTCGTCGTCTGGAACTCGCAAATCACTACCACCGTCATCCTCTGCATCAG